CCAGTAGAGTAAAGCAGAGTAAATAGATGGACTCAGCTCTGACAACATCACCAAGCCCACACACACACACACACACCCCCTTACCCTCATGAAGCTAACACTCTACATGAAGCCAGTAGAGTAAAGCAGAGTAAATAGATGGACTCAGCTCTGACAACATCACCAAGCCCACACACACACACACACACCCCCTTACCCTCATGAAGCTAACACTCTACATGAAGCCAGTAGAGTAAAGCAGAGTAAATAGATGGACTCAGCTCTGACAACAACACCAAGCCCAAGAATACAGTACCATGCATCAGCACTACTCCTTAACCTTCTAATTACTTGAGAAACTTCCATTTTTACTGAAGCTGGATAAGTTAGAGTTATACTATAAAAAAGTAGATGACATCTAACTAATATTAACACTTATATATGTGAAATATAAACTTTTACTCCCCTATAATACTCCAGAAAATAACATATAAAAGATTACCTTGGGTTCCTTATTATTCATCCATGACTGTAGATGAAAATCAATAGGTGAGTCTGTATAAGAAAACAAAAACAAACTGAGAGACCAGGTTATTTGACCAACTAAATACCCAACAATACCTAAAAATAGCAAGAAATATCTTTCTCTTGAAATAGAATAGAGGCACTTTTAAATGATGTATACGAATCCATCATAGGTCAGTTAAATGTTTTTAAATGTTAGGGTAGGGACTCATAAAAAAATTATACCAAAGAACTTGAATATGTGTTTAATCAAGACTTTATAGCTAACTTTTGCTTTGTAGGAGATGTGGAGAGGGAAAAAGAAATGGCACCTTGAGTAAATAAAGGGACAAACCTAAATAGTGGGACAAACTACAGTGTGACTGACCTAGAGTATTTCAACAAGGCACTGACACAGGAGACGCAACACAGGCACTGCAGCATAACAAAACCTCTCTCAGACCCCCATACGCGCAAATCACTATAAACAGCTGTACCAGATGATAAGTTTGTTAGCTATGTTAATAGCACTGTGGTTATGTAAGAAAATGTCCACACTTTTGAAGATGCATATTGAAATATGCACAAATGGCATCTGAAATTTTAAAATATCAGAAAAATAGTAGTAAAAAGGAGAGATGATGCAAGTATGACAAAATCTTATACTAGTGGGATAGGTACATGTGACGTTTTTTTAAATTGATACATACAATTCATGTATCATTAATTCACTCTTTTAAAGCATACAATTCAGCAGATTTTAGTATGCTCACAAGGTTGTACAGCCATCACCACTATTTTCATTATTCCAAAGTGAAACACTATACCTATTAGCAATCACTCCCTATTCCCACTACCTTCCAGCCTCTGACAATCAATAATTTGTCATTTGCGATTCTCCATCTATAGATTTCCCTACGGATAAACAGAACCATACATTTTGTGGCCTTCTGTGTCTTTCTTCTTTCACTTGGCATAATGTTTTCAAGGCCCACCTGTATTAAAGCACGTATCAGTTCCTTTTTGTGGATGAGTAATACTCCACTCATGTGGCCATACTACATTTTCTTTGTCCATTCATCAGTTGATTAATATTTGAGTTGTTTCTACTTTTTGGCTGTTGTCAGGCGCAGTGGCTCACGCCTATAATCCCAGCACTTTGGGAGGCTGAGGCAGGTGGATCACTTGAGGTCAGGAGTTCAAGACCAGCCTAGCCAAAATGGCTAAACCTCATCTCTACTAAATATACAAAAATTAGCTGGGTGTAGTGGTCCATGCCTGTAATCGGAAGCAGGAGAATCACCTGATCTCAGGAGACGGAGGTTGCACTGACCTGAGATCACGCCACACACTCCAGCCTGGGAGACAAAGCAAGACTCTGTCTCAAAAAAAAAAAAAAAAAAAAGTTTTTGCGTAGACATACGGTTTCCTTTCTCTTGGGTATATACCTAGGAGTGCAAATGCTGAGTCACATGGCAACACAATGTTTAATGTTTTGAGGAACTGTCAAACTGCTTTCCAAAGTGGATGTACCACTTCACATTTCTACCAATAATATATGAGGGTTTCAGTCCCTCCATATCCTCACCAAAATGTTATTTTCAATTTTTTTAATTATAGTTAGCCAAGTGAGTGTAAAACAGTATCTCACTATGGGTTTGTATTTTTTTGTTGTTGTTTCTTTTTTCTGTTTTTTGAGAGACAGTCTTGCTCCATAACCCAGGCTAGAACGCAGTGCACGATCTTGGCTCACTGCAACCTCCACCTCCTGGGTTCAAGCAATTCTCTAGCCTCAGCCTCCTGAGTAGCTGGGACTACAGGTACCCACCACCACACTTGGCTAATTTTTGTATTTTTGTAGAGGTGGGGTTTCACCATGTTGGCCAGGCTGGTCTCGAACTCCAGACCAGTCTCAAACTCCAGACCTCAAATGATCCACTCAGCTTGGCTTCCCAAAGTGCTGGGATTACAGGTATGAGCCATCGCACCAGCCTCACTTTGGTTTTGAATTACATTTCCTGGATGTCTAATGATATTGAGTATATCTTCATGTGTTTACTGGCCATTTGCACAACTTCTATAGAGAAATGTCTACTCAAGTCCTTTGCCCATTTGTCTTTTTAATGTTGAGTTGTAAGAGTTCTTTATATATTTTGAATACTAGTCCCTTTCCACATATATGATTTGCACATATTTTTTCCCATTTTTTTTTTTGGTTACTCTTTTCCCTTTCTTGATAGTGTCTTTTGAAGCATAAAAGTTTTCAATTCTGAAGTCCAATTCATCTATTTTTTTCTTTTATTGCTTGTTTGAGTGACAATATCACTGTCTTCTTTCATACATGTAACATTTTTCATCAAGGGAAACATAAACATCCCTTAAAATTTTTCTAACATATAATGTGTACTCATTTGTCAATCTTACAACGTATAATCAGGCAAGGCCTTTTGACTACTCAACTACAGTTTGGAGTTACAAAATACCACTGATAAATTTCCAGTTTTGGTTTCTTTGTTGAAAGAAAATGAATGTAGAGTACTTAAGACAAATCAACAGCAGAAGCCTATAATTTTTTTAAACAACTTTCCCCATATTTTTATTTTTGTAGTTTCTTCTCCACATCTAATTTCAGAGCAATTTTTCTTTTTGAGACAGAGTCTCACATTGTCACCCAGCTGGAGTACAGTGGCACGATCCTGGCTCACTGCAACTTCTGCCTCTCGGGTTCAAGTGATTCTCCTGTCTCAGTCTCCCAAGTAGCTGGGATTACAGGCAGCCGCTACCATGCCTGGTTAATTTTTGTATTTTTAGGAGAGACAGGGTTTGGCCAGGTTGGTCTTTGAACTTCTGATCTCAGGTGATCCTCCTGCCTCGTCCTCCCAAAGTGCTGGGTTTATAGGCATGAGGCACTGCACCTGGCCCAAGAGCAATTTTTCAAAGGACTTACCCTTGAGTATTTCCAATGCATTCAACCTCATTTTCTTAGAAACTATTATTTATTTTACAACTTAAAATTCACCTGTTCTATAAAAATAAGCTTAGGAACAAAATTGACTCTTGATACGAATATAAATTAATTTGGGGGAGAAAAGTGGAAGATGCACTAAAAGTAGTCTTGTCTTGAATGTAAACTATGCTGTGATCATCTGACAGCATGGTTTCCAAAGCAAAAATAATTTCAGCTTAAATCAGTTAACAAGGTTAAGAGGAGACCTTTCCCTATAAAAGTACTGTAAATATGACATTAATAGGTACAATGCAAATCAAATTATTTTCAGTTTACCGTGTGATAATACAAGATGAATACATCCCAGCCAGGAGTGATGATGCATGCATCAAATCCCAGCTACCCAAGAAGCTGAGGTGAAAGAACTGCTTGAGCCCAGGAGTTCATGACCAGTCTGGGCAACATAGCTAGAACCCATCTAAAAATTAAGAGGGGAAAAAAAAAAGGCCAGGCACAGTGGCTCATGCCCATCATCCCAGCATTCTGGCAGGCCAAGGCAGAGCAGATGACCTGAGCCCAGGAGTTCAAGCCCACCTTGGGCAACATGGCAAAACCCCGTCTCTACTAAAAACACAAAAAAGTGGCCGGGTGCTGTGGCTCATGCCTATAATCCCAGCACTTTGGGAGGCCGAGGTGGGTGGATCACCTGAGGTCAGGAGTTCAAGACCAGCCTGGCCATCACGGTAAAACCCCACCTTTAAAAAAAAAAAAAAAAAAAAAGTGGTGGTGTGTGCCTGTAGACCCAGCTGCTCAGGAGGCTGAGATGGGAAGATAGGTTGAACAGCCCAGGAAGTTGAGGCTGCAGTGAGTTGTGATCACACCACTGGACTCCAGCCTTGGCAACAGGAGTAGACCCTGCCTCAAAAAAACAAAACAAATCAAAATCCAAAATGAGGAAATGAAAAAGGAAGTTACAACATATGCATTAAGAAATAATTTCAAATAGTTCAGTACCTTGTGCTTGTTCCAATGGTGATGCCCTGTCGAAGAAATCTTGGCCTTGCAAGGATTCTGTAGCTCCACCTGGCTCCTCTTCTGGTCCTACTGTCTCCATTTGGAAAGCTGACTGTTTCCTGAAAGCATTTGACAAATGTTGACTTTCCACATAGCTCTTTTTCCTAGAGATAGAACTTTTTTATTAGGAAATAGAAAAATGTTAAAATGTTACCTTGGGTAAATCTATAAAATATCTATTGATCAGTTATTTGAGTATTTCACCTCTCAAAAAGAAAAAATGGAAGCAATAAAAAATAATCTGAGTCTAGACAGAAACTACAACTGCTAACACTACATGGTATTCTGGGGACTGAATCAACCTTTTGGGTCCAGTGATACACAGTATACCAAAATCAAAGAGAATGTCATACTGCTACTCTTCCTCTCAAGGAATAAAAAGTGTTTTTTCTTCTTTCCAAAATAAGTATCCTTGAAACGACCAGTCTACAGGACTCAGATTTCTGAAAGCTATACAGACTTAAAGGATACTGGCATATTTGCCAAAATAGCCAAATCTCTGAATTAGTAAAGGTTTCGATTGTTTTTATCTTTATCCCTAGTCTTAGTCCTTGTCCTTATCTTTCTATCTACCTCTGCTGTTTTCTGTGTGGATTTAAGTATTCTTCTTACAGGCAATTTCCCTCCTACCCTACTGCAAAAGCTCTTGGGTATAGAGCATATCACCACAGAAAGAGGAGGGGTGGGAATGGAACTTCAGGAAAAAGCCTCTAAATGCAACAAATTCATTACATGACAAACTGTTACAGCCAGGCTCAAATTTGGCCAGTATGAATTTTTATTTATTTATTTTTTGAGATGGAGTCTCACTCTGTCACCAGGCTGGAGTGCAGTGACAAGACCTCGGCTCACTGCAAACTCCACCTCCCGAGTTCAAGCAATTCTCCTGCCTCAGCCTCCTGAGTAGCCAGGATTATAGGCGTGCGCCACGACGCCCAGCTAATTTTTGTATTTTCAGTAGAGATGGGGTTTCACCATCTTGGTCAGGCTGGTCTTGAACTCCTAACCTCATGATCCACATGCCTCAGCCTCCCTAAGTGCTAGGATTACAGGCATGAGCCACCATACCCAGTCAAGGATGGATTTTTTAAGAAAGTTCTTCTGTATTTCTCAAATCCTAATCTTTCATCCCTGAGGCAACTCTCCAACCCTAACTACAATTTATTTCCCCGTTTCTCCATCTCTTTACTGGGGCTGGAGTACATAAAAAGCCACTAGCTTAAGCCAAGGAAAAATTTCACCAAGTACACAAAAGGAAAGACATAGGTAGAAAGACTATACAGTTAAAAAGTTAAGGGATAGCAACGACAGAAAGGAAAGAGGTAGGGGAGCAAGGTGGTGATAGGAAATAAGTAAGTCAGGATGGTTAGGTCAATTTCCATATTTTAAAGCCTTCCCTAAGAAAAGTACATAGTATGATCACAAGAACTTTAGAATACAGGGACAGTTGAGAGCAGGGCACTCTACATTCACCACCATCCCTCTAAAAAAGCTACCTCCTCAAAACTACAGCTATCCATATTTTTGTTAGCTCACAAAAACTTTGCAAACTAAGTCCCAAGTTTCAAGTTAGAGGCAAGAGCAACTTCCAACAGTCCAATAAAATGACAGTAAGGAAATCTATAAAAGTGAAGAAATCTGGGTAAGAACTACCAGTCCTAACCCACGCTTACCCCAGATTCTGGAATCTGAAAAGCAGATGGGGTGTGCAAGGGGAAAGAAAGCCACAATCCAAGAACAGAAGGGCCCGGAAGCAGAAAAAGAAACAAATCTGTCAGCAAGAACCACGAAAATGTTCCATGACTACAGTCAGAAAGAGGGCAGGAGAGAGTCGGGGAGGGCAGGAGACGGGGAGACTGAAAGCCTAGCAGGCAGCCTAACAGGAGTACACCCTTCTTCCTCACCCCAAAGACAACAGCCACACACAAACAGTGAACACCTGGCAAGGGGGAGGTAAGGGCTTGCCTGCAGACAAGGTACAGAAAATGCCTGTGGAGAATGAAACAACAGCAATAACAGCGGCCCAGAACAAAGAGTCAAACATCTAGCACAAAATTTAAGACTCCAACCTGCGCACTCTAAAGTAAACTTGGCCAGGAACGATGTTCCTCTTGTGTGGAAGCCAAAGAGAAATGAAAGCAACATACACAAGGGTATGCAGCTAAGGGTGCCTACACTAGGCAGCCTAGAAGACAGCCACAAATCAGACACAAGAAAAAAAGGAGCAGCTCGAGAGACAAAAATAAAAATGAACAAACTATACAAACAGCCCTGGAGAAAAGGAACAGTTTACAGAACTTTCAAAATTTCTAATTAAAATCTTCAGAAATATCCATGTAGCTGTTACAGTCAACTCTCAGTGTACATGGGGGACTGGTTTCAGAACCCCCACATCTACCAAAATATGCAATATTCAAGTCCCACAGTCAGCACTGACTACACTCGGGTTTCATATCCACAAATATTGAATTTTCTATCCACGTTTGGTTGAAAAAAATCTGCTTATAAGTGGACCCACACTGTTCAAACTCAGGTTGTTCAAGGGTCAAGTGTACATCCACAAAAAAGGCCCATTAAAAAAAAAGTCAAAAAAAGAGTTATTATTATTTAAATGACTACCAAATGATTTAATGAGTGGGGAAAAAACTTATCTAGAACAATGTCTTTTTGCACTAACCAGAAAAAAAAGGAAAAAAATAAAACAACCGAGACAGGCCGGGCACGGTGGCTCATGCCTGTAATCCCAGCACTTTGGGAGGCCGAGGTGGGCAGGTCACGAAGTCAAGAGATCGAGACCATCCTGGCCAACATGGTGAAACCCCGTCTCTACTAAAAATACAAAAAAATTAGCTGGGTGTGGTGGAGTGCACCCGTAGTCCCAGCTACTCGGGAGGTTGAGGCAGGAGAATTGCTTGAACCCGGGAGGCAGAGGTTGCAGTGAGCCGAGGTCTTGCCACTGCACTCTAATCTGGCACCTGGTGATGGAGTGAGATTCTGTCTCCCAAAAAAAAAACAACCCAGACAATCCAAAACAGTAGGTCTGGAAAAACAAAAGGAAAAAATAGAAAAAAAAAAAAATTTCAAGGAAATCATAATTATCTAGAACTAATCTAATCTCCAGATCAATGCCAATTCATTTAGTAAATCGAGGAAAATTGCCTCACTCACAAGGGACTCAAAGGGGATTCTAAAACTTCCAGACAGAAAACATAGTTCAGATTAAAAAAAAAAAAAAAGAGCATCAAGATTACATCAGACTTCACATACAATGTTGCAATATCTTCAAAATTGTGTGAAAATTTATTTTCATCCTAAAATTCTGTACTCAGCTTAAGTATTAATTAATTCCAAGATCAGAATAAAGACATTTTGAAACACAAATTACCTCCTCCCCAAGAAGGGGTCAAAGAAGCCATCCCTCACCAAGAGACTGAGGCCATGCCTTTCCAGGCTGCTGACTCTTCAGTACAGTGTCCAAGGAAGCCCTCGTACTCAGACCAACAACCCAGAGCTTCAGACTGTTCAAGAGTCAAGGGCTAGCTCTAAGCACTTACCTCCCCCCAGGAACTGAGTCTAAGACTCCATCTCACCAGGCCTCGTATCTTCCATCAACAAGGGCCAACAAGAGCAGTTTCCTGAGCTCCTGGCCTCAGCAAAAGTCAAAAGTATGCCCTCAAAATGCCCTCCTATCCCTGACATTTGCGATTTCTTCTGATTCAGCTCCTACAACCAGCCCAGGATGCCTCACTGCTGGCATTCCAAGTCCCTTAAGACTGTACAGCTCTTCTACTCCCCCACAAATAAAACCCTTCTACTATGCCTTCTAGAATTTACAGAGCTGGGTTGACAAGATCTGCCATTCCTGAACCCCTTCTCTGAACATTCCTGTCACCTTACTGCTTTAATGAAAGCCTGAATATCCTGTGAGGACATTGCTACCCCCAAGCTCTGAAAAATGGGGACCCTCATCTCTCCAACAGCCGTGGCATCATCACTTGGTGTGGAGATGGAATACATAGGCCCTCCCTGCCCTCAGTGCCACTTCCAGGTCGCTCTCCCTAGAGCCTCACAGCTTTGAATCACCTACTACCCCTCTGTCTCTAGTACCACAACTATATGATGCTGACCCCAACTGCACCTCCAGCCCATCTGTACCACCACATTGCTCTCCCTCTCCCTGACCATACCCTCTCCTCCTCCTTAACCTAAAGCACATGGTCAATCTTACATCCTCAGCAACCTTGTCCCTCACTGCCTACAACCCTGGTTAAATTCAATTCTCCACCTCCTCTTTACCTGCACTCCTTATAGCTCAATGTGGCTGGAGAAATAACAGTCCCACACTAAATTCATGCCTATAGCCCTCAAGTTGGGCCCTTGATGTTATCCAGAAATCCTAACATTTCAACCCTGTTCATTCATTTTCCTACGCTCCATGTGGTAATTTTACATCTTTTTCTTTAAACCACCAACTCCTTTTTCTCTACCCTCACTCTGACTTGATGGCTTTCCTTCTACTTCATTAACCCTACTTTCAGCCTCAAGAACTGAAAAGGTAACTTCCAGAGATTCTTACCACTACATGCACCCACACAGGCCGTCTTCCCACCTGTTACTGCAGAGGAACTGCCCGCAGTCCTACCCAGCTAAAGCTACTCACCGCAATGCAAGTTGTGGCCCACTCTCTTACTGACACAGACATTACTGTAGCAATTCTCTTCCCTTTCTACATCAGCAAATTTTACCTTTCCAGGAGATTATTTCTATTATCACATAAACATGCAGCAACTTCTCCCACCACAAAAAAAAGTGAAACCTCTCTTCACCCACTACAACCATCAGCTATCACAACCTCGTTTCTCTGCTCCCTTTCGCAGCAAAACACCACAAGCTTTCTACTGCCTCTAACAGCTAACTCCTGTTCTCTCTGAAACTCACTCCAAGTAGGCTATGGTGCCTTGCCCTTCTTCCACCAAACTACTTATCAGGGTTACCAAGGACCTAATCTATGCTAATTCCAAGAGTCAATTCTCTGCCCTCATTTTATTTCACATAGTTGGGTAACTCTTCTTTCATACATGCTCCTGGCATGGCTTCCAGGAAACAGTTTTCCTCCTGCCTCTGAATCACTAATTCTTAATCTCTCTATTGATTTCTCCTGTCACCAGCTTCTCACTGTGGAGCAACCTGAGGACCAGGCCTGGTGCTCTCTTCCATCTGCCTCACTACCGGACCATCGAGACTCAGTGCTCGTGCTGTGCCCACTCTCGCCTCCTATAGTCTCTTCTCCATGTAAAAGCCAGAGTGGGCCTTTTTTTTTGAGACAGGGTTCTCATTCTGTCATCCAGGCTAGAGTGCAGTGGTGCAATTACGGCTCCCTTCAGCCTCAATCTCCTGGGCTCAAGTGATCCTCAGAGTGGGCCTTTTAAAACACAATTCGGATGGAGCCCTCAAGTTTCTTCCCGTATCTCTCAGAGTCAGAGTCAAGGTCCTGCTCACCACCTCCCCAGCCTCCCTGCCACTCTGTGATCACAGGGACTACACTCCTGCCTTAATGTCTTCAGGCTGGCTGCACCCTTGGCCTGATGTCTGCTTCCCCCTGGAGTCCACATAGTTATTAACTCCCTGCCGTCAAGTCTTGACTCGTATCTTTTTTCCTTTTTTTTTTTTGAGACGGAGTCTCACTCTGTCGCCCAGGCTGGAATGCAGTGGCATGATATTGGTTCACTACAGCCTCCACTTCCCAGGTTCAAGCAATTATCCTGCCTCAGCCCCCCAAGTAGCTGGGATTACAGGCATGTGCCACTACAGCTAGCTAATTTTTGTGTTTTTGGTAGAGATGGGATTCCACCATGTTGGTCAGGCTGGTCTCAAACTTCTGACCTCAGGTGATCCACCCACCTCAGCCTCCCAGAGTACTGGGATTACAGGCGTGAGCCATTGTGCCCTTGGCTCATATCTTATGTCCACAATGAGACCCACACTGACAACTGCCTTCGGCCTTCCTAATAACCCTCATCATATTTTATTTTTTTCTAGCACTTTTCTCTTCTAATATACTATAAAATTAGCATATTCTAGTGTCTTGTTTAACATCTGTTTTAGTCACTGGAATTTCCTAACCACCTGGAGAAGTGGCTGACACAGAGTAGGCATGCAGTAAAAACACAGAGTGAAGGATTGAATACACAGGGTTAACAGCTTTTTTTTTTTTTTTTTTTTTTTTTTGAGACAGAGTTTCGCTCTTGTTACCCAGGCTGGAGTGCAACGGCGCGATCTCGGCTCAGCGCAACCTCTGCCTCCTGGGTTCAAGCAATTCTCCTGCCTTAGCCTCCCGAGTAGCTGCGATTACAGGCGTGCACCACCATGCCCAGCTAATTTTTGTATTTTTAGTAGAGACGGGGTTTCACCATGTTGACCAGGAAGGTCTCGATCTGTTGACCTCGTGATCCACCCGCCTCGGCCTCCCAAAGTGCTGGGATTATAGGCATGAGCTGCCGCGCCCGGCCTGGTTAACATCTTTAATATAAAGAAAGCACCTACATATAAAGGCTATCAAGAGGCAATTTGTAACATAAATCTAAGTAATGAATAGATATTACAGCAGGTTCAATATCATAATATTCAAATACAAATTTAAACACAGAAAATAAGATTGTCTGTAATACCACTAGTATCATTTTGGTTTTATAGACTTCCAGACTTTCTTCCATGCATATATACATGTGTATTATGTAAATTATTTTCACCTCTGAAAATCAAAGATTAAAAATAGCACCATCAAATGTTGGGCAGGATTGAGAGAAGTCAGCATTCCCATAATATATCTACTAGGAGAATAAACGGATACAAGTTTTCTAAAGAGCAATGTGTTAATTACAAATTAATGGTCTTTATAACAAAGTATTTTTAACTCAGCAATTTAAATCCTAGAAATCTAAATAATATCTTAGGTGTGAAAAATGTATATATAAATGTACACATAGGGAAGTTCATTACCTTTGTATAGCAAAACTGCAATAATCCAAATGGCCAATACAGACCTGGGTATACAGTCATTAACACTATGACACAGATTTATATTAATTGTAATTGAAAGCTAAACATAATACTGCATCTTAATTTTTTTAATATAATAAACACAATAAGAGTTTAATCTTATTTTGTAAAAAAAAAAATTATTTTCATTTTTCTTTTTCTATAGCCTCATATTAGAAGTGAAAAAAGATTTAAAGGCATAAATGCACATAGAAAATAGTCTGAAAGACTACAAATAAAAATGTACTCAATGGCTGTTCTCTAGTTAGTGGGATTACAGGCCTTTGTTGTCTTCCAAATAATTTTCTACATTCTCTATTTTTTTCAATAGCACATACCATTTTTAGAATCCAAAAAAAATATTTTGAAAGACTACAAATGTGATTAAAGTGCATAAAGAAAACTCTTTGCTGGGCGCAGTGGCTCATGCCTGTAACTCTAATCCCAGTACTTTGGGAAGCCAAGGCGGGCAGTTCACGTGAGGTCAGGAGTTTGAGACCAGCCTGGCCAACACGGTGAAACCCCATCTCTACTAAAAATACCAAAAAAATTAGGTGGGCATGGTGGCACATGCCTGTAATTCCAGCTAATCGGGAAGCTGAGGCAGGAGAATCCCTTGAACCAAGGAAATAGAGGTTGCAGTGAGCCGAGATCATGCCATTGCATAATAGCCTGGGAAATGGAGTGAGATTCTGCCTCAAAAAAAAAAAAAAGAAAACTCTTAAAGACTCTTAGAATTAATCAGAATTAATTACAGACACAATCACATTGTCATTTTCCACAAGACTGCATAAGACCCACTTTTAGCACAGTACAAGCAAATGAAGTTATGAACTTACTCATCATCCTGGAAGCTAAGCTGTACCCTCTCTATTGGTTCAGTGTCACTCTGGTTTCTGGGAGATGACCCAGATGGAACTGAAAATCTCCCTTCTACTAAGTAAGATGCCTGGATATCAGGATATCTACAAAAAAAAAAAAAAAATATTGTTTTAATTGTTAAGAATTAAGTTACACATATTTAAATGCCATCATTACATAGGGCTGTGTGACAATAAAACCAACCACCAGGAGTAAAAACAAATAGGGGCTTTGTATTCCACACCACCATCCTCTGCAGAGCATGGAAACCTGTGGCTCAAGCAATAGGGAGTTTATCTGTATTCAACAATACAGTCAAAAATCATAAAGCTATAAGAGCTGACAGCGTTAATACAATCCCTTCCTCCCAAAGGTCAAGACAATGCTCCTCACTAAATGTTTAGGTTGAGAGAAGACAGGAACGTGGCCAATTTAGGCACAGGCAAACTTTATACATTATTCAAGACCCTACATGTAATGGACGTGTACGCTATATACAATCCATTTGAAGACACAAAACGAGGTGTATTTAACGAAACATAAATCTGCTAACAAAATGGACATTTTAAAAGTTAAAAAAAAAACGCTGGTTAATTTTTTTTTTTTCTATTTTTTTGAGACAGAGTCTCCTTCTGTTGTCCAGGCTAGAGTGCACTGGCCCAATCTCAGCTCACCACAACCTCCCCCTTCCAGGTTCAAGCAATTCTCCCGTCTCAGCCTCCTGAGTAGCTGAGATTACAGGCATGCGCCATCACACCTGGCTTTTATTTTTAGTAGTGACAAAATTTCGCCATGTTAGCCAGGCTGGTTTCGAACTCCTGACCTCAAGTGATCTGCCCACCTTGGCCTCCCAAAGTGCTGGGATTACAGGCGTGAGCCACCATGCCCAGCCTGGTCGAGTTTCTATGAAAGAGAAACTTGACTTCAGGAGCTGAAAGTTACTAGAATGGCAAGAGCCAAGTTGCTTCAGAAACCTAGGAGAGACTGAAGGTTGGAAGAGAGAGATAGCCACACAAGTCCAGTAAAGAATAAACCTGGCTAAAATGAATCAAAAAGTGAGGCTCTGTCATACTTCTAAATAGGCTCAATGACCCAAAACTCTAGTCACAGGTGACTGGATTTGGAACAGATACCTAACCTAAGATGGACCAGAAACTTGTGAGATTTCAAGAGACAGTTCATTAGTCTCCTTGTGTAGCTAGAAATGTAATTCATAGATGTCTTTTGAGAATTTGTGTTGCCATATTCTAGAACATGAACAGAAAAGCAAATAAAATCAGTGTATTGAAAAAGAGAAGAGGCCAGGTATAGTAGCTCACACCTGTAATCCCAACACTTTGAGAAGCTGAGGCGGGAGGATCACTTGAGCCCCAAGAGTTCAAGAACAGCCTAGCTAACACATCAAGACCCTATCTTTACAAAAAAAATTTTTTTAATTAGCCAAAAAAAAAAAAAGGAAAAGAGAGAGAAAAGAGAATGAAAGAGTTATACAGAGAGACATAGAGTGGGATGACAAAAACCTAAGACCTGATAGCTTCCCAAATCCCAATTCCAGTCCCTTCTTGCAGCAAAGCTCTGCATTTCCTGTCCTTGATGCCAAGAGATACTCCTTTAACCTTATGATTAATTTTCCTTTGAACTTCGCTAACACAACTTGTTTTACATTACTAGCCATTAATATGACTGAACTAATACAAATCCAAAACACAGTAGACAAAAAAAAGTAATAGGCCAAAATAGATAACTAGTGCTCAAATTCCAAACCCACCCAAACCTACCCACTGAAAAGGCAATGCAATAGGGAAAGAGACAGTAAATTCTGTCTTTTCTATATTCATTTCACATATTTGGCCATCTCCCTCACTCATAAAACAAAAAGTTCAAGCTTGACTGAGAAATATTACATAAATATCAGTATGCTGTAGGTTTTATGGACCTGGAAAAGAATCTGCTCAAACAAATCTTACCTGTTTTCAGTGCTGGATGTATTTCTAGCAAGTGTGGAAACTGCAACAGGCAAACCAAGATTTGAAGAAAGAGTGACATTTTCCAAAATCTCACTGTTACCAAATAATGAATTGGTTAGAAAGCTTGGAAATGATTCTTCTGCTATCCCTCGAAAATCTTCCATCTCACTGCAATAACAAAGTATTTCTACAGGTCACATATTACTATAGAATGTTTTTAAATGATTAAAAGTATCGTCTCAGAAAACTAATAAATCTTAGGGAAAAAAATCCCTGTTTTTAGCATCAGTAAGAGTGGGAAATATGCAAATAGTCTGAGGTAAAATCTCAGAATACTTTGCTACTTTATAGCTGAGAACAGAAACCTTAAACATTAAACTTACCTTTTAAAATTAACATTAATAATGCAATACACATCTTAATTTACTCTTCGCTTGGTGTAGCAAGAAAAATGAATTAATACAAATTTATCTAGTAAAGAAAGCAAAGATGGCATAATACTGATGGTATATACAAATGATTTGAAGCCATATCTAAAAGTTTGATAGTTATGTACTCATTCTAATATGGAACAGAAAAAGTACAACTAGCAAAAATCTAGCCCGGATCTCAAAGTGCTGTTAAAAGTGAATTAAAAAGTGAGTGCATTCAAAGCAAACTTTTCAGTTAAAGTACAGTTGGCACGTAGACAAGGCAAAAGTGGTAAAAGGGGTACACGAATGACTGTATCTGGAAAACACCAGCACAAAACCTATGCTATTACTAGAGACCCTGACCACAGTGCTCTGAAAATGTTAGCCAGTCTCAACAATTTTTCAGAGTACGTATTATATACACACTGCATGGAATTCAGTAAAGGAAATAATAACAGGAGGACAAAAGATAAATACATTAGAAAAAGCTAAAAAAAAAATGAGAGGATATTGGCAATGTGCTTTGAAGACTAAGAACTTTTACAGGCAGAGTATGGGATGAGAGAGCTTTTTAGGATGACAAATGTGAGCGAAGAAGGAAAAGAATTAAATTTTATTGTATACCTACTAACACACTGAAACCACAGAAAACCTTACAGTGTAGGTATTATCCCATTTTACAGATGAAGAAACAAACTGAGAGACAAAATCAGCTAAATTTTCCCAAGGTTGTAATTAGTAAGAATCAAACCCAGGTCTGACTTGAAAATCCACTCTAAGTGCTATGTCTATGCTAGCAGTAGCAAATACGCCAATGTATTTTGGCAGCAGGTAAATAAAATAGCACAGTAAATGAAGCTAGAATAACAGAATGGAACTAGATTCTAAAAGTCTGAATTGGTGTATTAGAAAGTTTGAACTGTATTCTGCAACTAACAAAGGACTGACACAATCCAGCCTGTAGTATAAGAAGGGAGAAGACTTCAAAGCCTGGAAGACTATTCAAAGAGCTACTTCAGTAATAAAGGAGTATTGATCCTAGGGATCAATGACAAACTGGATTAAAGCATATATTTTAGACAGTATGGACTAATTTAATTACTCTATAAAATAAAAAAATTTTACGACCACTAAAGAGATTATGAGACCAGGTGCAGCGGCTCATGCCTGTAATCCCAGCATTTTGGAAGGCTGAGACAGGCAGATCACTTGAGATCAGGAGTTCAAAACCAGCCTGGTCAACATGATGAAACCTCATCTCTACTAAAAGCATAAAAATTAGCCAGGTGTTGTGGCGGGTGCCTGTATTCCCAGCCACCTGTGGGGCTGAGGCAAGAGAATCGCCTGAACCTGGGAGGCAGTGGTTGCAGTGAGCCGAGATTACGCCCCTGCACTCCAGCCTGGGTGACGGGGCAAGACTCTGTCACCCCAAAAAATAAGATCTTACTTGATTATGAAGTCTCCATGTCCCCGTCTGAGGCCCACTTCTCTACTTTGCACTCGACCCCAACCCCTTACTGCACTGAAGAACCACTCTACCAATCAGCCCCCTTTCTTAACATCATCGAATCTTCTGTCTGTGCAAGCCTTCCCATGCTGTGCAAGCTGTTATTTCCCCCACCTTTTAAAAAAGCCTTCCTCTATCTCACACCCCATCAACTGCCACCACACCTATCCATGTTTCCTTTATCACATGCATCTTGAACACACCCCAATCTGGCTTTTATCCCACTACACAACCAAAAACAATGCTTGTCAGCATCAGCCCTGATCTCCCTGTTGCCAAGTCCTAGCATACCATGATCAACTTCCAGTCCTTTTCCTGTAACCTAACATTCAGCTGATTATTCCTTCCTTGGGGAAATACTTTCTTCACATGGTTTCTAAGACACAGCTGTATGGTTCTCTCCCAACTCTACCAGCTGCTGCTTTTCCTTCTCCTTGGCCAATTCGTCCTTATCTCCTGGACCTCCACAGTGGAAGCCTCCAGGGCTTGATCTTTGACTTCTTCCATCAGCTCACCCTCTCTGGGTGATTGCCTTCAATTTCAAAGCTTAAAATATCATATAAAATGTATACCTCCATCTTGGGCCTCTCCCCAACCCTCAGATATTCAACTGCCTACATGACACTTCCACTTAAGATGTCTAATCAGCGCCTGCATTTGAATCTTGATTCCAATTCATTTCCATCCCCTCAAGAAAAGCCTGCCCTTCAGCCTTCTCCACCAGCAAAAATGACAACTCAAACACCTAGCTGCTTGGGCCAAAAACCTTAGTCATCTCTGAGATCCCTCTCACACCCCATCATGTGCAATTCCTATGCAAATCCCTAGTTATACATTAACAATACACTCAGGAATTTGCCACATCCCTCATCCTAACCTCCACCCTGCTATCACCTCGGTCAAGCCACCACCACTTCCTGTCTGGACACCCACTGCAATAGCCTTTGGTCTTCAGGCCTCCTCTCTGCCTCCCTTAGTCTATTCTGAAAGTCACCCCTACAACATTAGTCAAAGGTCCTCGCTCCTTAGCTCAAACCCTCCCTCCACTGGTTCCCCATCTCATTCAGAGTAAAAGGCTAATCAGGGCCTTTAAGATGGCCAATCAGGGCCCATATAATCTCTGACCTCGTCTCCCTTGCTCACTTTATTCCAGTCATCCTAACCTCCCTGCTGTTCTGAAACAAGCTAAACTGTTTCCCTCCAGGACTTCCGCCCTAGCTCTGACCTCTGCCCAGCCCCTGATACTCTAGCTATTCACACATCTTGCACCCTCACTTCTTTCAGGTCTTTGTGCAAATGTTCACTCAACTGTCAGGCCTTGGCTCATCAGCCTACAGATTTGAACAGGGCACTCCCAACTTCCTTTCCCTGCTTTCTCTGTTCTATAGTATTAACCACCACCTGGCATGCTATTTAACTCACTTGTTATCTCTTTTTCTCCCCACTTTAGAACGTAAACTCTGTGAGGGCAGAGACTTTGACCATGTGGTTTGCCACTGCATTCCCAGCTAGAAAAGTGCTGGCACAAGACCCTCAATAAACCTGAGTGAATGAATAAAATTTTTAAACTATGTCAATACATAGCAAATTCAGCACCATCATATAATCATCCTCCTTTCAGATCGTGCCCCAGTATTTTCTTCTCTTTGATATTTCCAACCATTCTCTCTTCTTGATTTCCATAAACATGTTCAAAACTCTCTCATTTTAGGATGAAGGAGGCTGCCCTGATCTTTCATTTGCACATCCTGCCACCACCTTCTTTTTCAGAGTACGTATCATATATACACTGCGTGGAATTCAGTAAAGGAAATAATGACAGGAGGAAAAAAAGATAAATAAATCAGGAAAGCTAAAAATGAGAGGTTATTAGCAAGGCGCCTTGAAGACTGAGAAGAACTTTTACAGGCAGAGTATGGGATGAGAATTTTTCTCTCCATTTTCATTTTCTCTTCCCTTCATGGCCAAGCATCTTAGGAGAATACTCCACAATCAGTACTTTCACAACTCATCTGACATCCTCTTCCTTTATCTGCTTCTCGTATGTCAGGGTTACCCAGGATTCTGACCTCAGACTTTACATCATGCAATTTACTTCTTACACACTAGGGATCTCAAACTCAAATATCTTCAGAAACAAATACTGTTAGAAAGCAAGACTTTAAGGACTGATGTCAGCTGGAAATAACAGGCTCTACCTTAAAGCCAGTTAAATTCAATACAAACACTGTTGTCAAACAAAACACATCTGCTAGTATAGTCCATTCCTGAAGACAAAACATGTCTATGCTCCAAACACACACTGAAATAGTCTGTATCTACCTATCTCCACTATTACGACCTTACCCTACTGAAAAGCCTCCTGACCCCTCTCCATGTTTTTATTCTAGCTGCCCTACAATTAATTAACCACGAAGCAAGCAAAAAGACCATTAACTATGAATCAAGTGTCGTGCCTCTTCTGAAAACTCTATGAGGCTTGTCACTCTCCCACATTCTCAGGCTTGTTCATACATACTGGATTTTTTGTTCCTGTAATGCCCCCAAAGCCCACCCCTACCACAGGATCTAGAATATTCTTCTTCCAGATATTTGCATAGCTAGCTCCTTCCTTCTTGATATTCACCTCAATTTATATGCTGCCTTCTAAGTAAGTTTATCTCTATTATTAAGTCAAGCAGTACCACAGACTATCACATCCATTTAAATTTCGTCAGCATTTATCACTCTTTATTCTTGTATTAATCTGTTTTCTTCCAATGAAATAATTTCTCCCTAAGAGCAGGCACCTTGCCTATCTGCCCATCACCGTTTCCTAACACTAAGAACAATGCCTAGCACACAGTAGGTACTCACTAAGTATCTGTGAAACAAATGACTGACAACATTCTCAGTCAGTGGGTAACCTCAACTTTAACCCTTATATATTTAGAAGAGCAGCTTCTCGGGGAAATGTCTGTCTTGTTCATCCATATATTCCCAATACCTGACAGAGAACTGGAACTACAAGTTGAAAATATGAGTTGAAAGAAAGAATCTATAACCCCCAGTTTGCTGATACTCAGTGTCTATTATCAAGTAATAGCTAAGTATTTCACATACATTTTTCTAATCCCCATGTAAATTTGTAAGGTAGCCATTATCCCTATTATTGAGGAAACTAAGGCTGAGAGGAGAGACGTTTCCAGTCCACACAGCACAAGTGAAGCCAGAGGATTTCCACCCAAGCAAGTCTGGCCCCAGGGTATTCCTTCCTCTGCACTAATTCCACCTCCTGGTGGTGCATGCCTGAAGTCTCAATTACTCTGGAGGCCAAGGTGGAAAGATTGCTTGAGACCAAAAGTTTGAGGCTGCAGTGAGCTATGACCACGTATGTGAACACCCATTGTAATCCCGCCTGGGCAACAAAATGAGACTCTGTCTTAAATAAGTATACAGGAGCATATGCATCAGTTATATGCAAATACTACACCAATTTATATAAGGAACTTGAGCATCCAGAGAATTTCAGTATCCTGGGGCAGGGACAGGTCCTGGAACCAATCCCATGGATAACTTGAAAAATCGATCATACTTCCAAATGCCTCTCTGACATCCACCTTACCCCTCAATGCAATACAAAATACAAAACCAAACTTCTTATCTTTCCTCCATTCATTCCTTCTGTTATCTTTAGTCTTCACCCAAGTCCATTCCTATTAACTGGCAATACAATCCGGACACTTAGGACCATTCTGATCACTCCTGCTCTCTCACCAAATTCTAATGCTTCTAACTTCAAATACACTTCTGGAGCTGAGACCCAGTTCTCTATTCCTAATGCCAGCTGCCCATCACTTTTTATTCTGAACTATCACACAAGTCTCCCAACTAGCCTCCCCAAGTCTAGCCTTGTAATTATTATTCATTCATATACAGACATGTAAACGATTAAAATTTATACAAAACTCTTCCGTTATTCCTATCTAGAAGGGGCCTAATCTAAAGAAAACTTACAAATTATGCAAAGAGGCTGGGCATCGTGGCTCATGCCTGTAATCCCAGCACTTAGGGAGGCCAAGCCAGGTGGATCACAAGGTGAGGAGTTCAAGACAAGACTGGCCAACATGGTGAAATCCTATCTCCACTAAAAAATACAAAAAAAAATTAGCTGGGCACGGTGGCTCGTGCCTGTAACCTCAGCTACTTGGGAGTCTGAGGTATCAGAAGTGCTTGAACCAATACCTGGAGGTGGAGGTTGCAGTGAGCCAAGATCGCACCACTGCACTCCAGCCTGGTCTACAGAGCAAGACTCCAACTCAAAAAATAATAATAATAATGCAAAAATAATTCATGCAACAATCATTATCAAACATAACCCATGAACACTCTACTTGGCACCAAGAATGCAAAAATAAATAAGGCAGTTCCCCTCAGGGAGCTGACAATCCCTGTCAACTACCGTAGCGTTAAGTACTTCAACAGAGCTCTGCTAAAGGTGCAAAGGCAAAAAAACCCACGGGAAGATTCCTCAAGATGTAACTTAATACCTAGTCTCTTTTCCAGAAAGGATTACACTCGTAAACCATTCATGAACATAACATTCCTAAAGGAAATTTCCTTTAATTTCCCACTTTTTTGCATTACTCACCCCTCCTCCATCATCTCAAGTAAAGACAGTATGTTATCTTTTCTTCTACCATATTTGAACTCAGTAGCTATATTTGCAATTTCTCTTATTTCTTTAACGTAGTGACCTCAAATTTCACATCTGGCTTCACTAATTACATTCGTAGGTACATAAAAGATTGACCATAGCCATTAATCGTACGTCTATGTATACAGTTAAACACATTTAAAAGCATATGCTGTGGAACCCAAAGCCGAGTCAAACTTCCCTAAAACTCATCATTTACTCTTGGCACTTTAAAATATACTTCAAAATTATGTAGGCATTTGGTATGTTATTGTTAAAGGCTTATCGTAAACTTTGCCCAGAAAACTGAAATCTGGAGAAAAAGTTGATTTTGGAGCAGTATAAACACCAATCGAATGACCTCAAATTAACAACAACAAATGGAAATACTGTCATATAAACAGCTGTCCTCCAAACGACTGCCTTAAAAAGGTCCTCATGTTTTACTAAACAAACTCTGAAATCAAGAACAAAGTAAAAGTAGAATGTATTAACATTCGTCTCATTTCAGTTCATAATGAAATCATAGGCCAGGAATGTAGGTAAACTATTAGGAATAAATGAACACAGCCCTAGCAGAAACCAAATCAAGTGAGTAAACGGAAGACAAGGGCATTAAGCATTAAGTTAACAAGGTTACTTCCTGGGTCAGAATTTTAAACAAAAAGGAGAAATAGAACCGCCCATCACAATGCACATAAAGCAACCACCACTGGTCACCCCACAAGAACTCTGCAATAAACTCCAGAGGGAAGCACAGAGACGGCCTGTCCCTCAAGAGCTGCAAGTCCCCAGACAGGAAGGGACGAAAGAAGGATGTAATCCCCCCAAGAGTCTACCTCATCACGCCTGGCAAGAGCCCAATGACACAGAGGCATGCAATTAATCCCACGGCTGAGCTCAGCTCGGAAGCGCGGCCATGAGCGGAAGCGCGCGCAGAGAGCGGCAGTCACTCCTCACGCGCCCTGCGGGCCTCGCAGCCCCACAGCCCTCGGCCCGGAGCCTGCGCCTCAGCCCGGTCCAACCGTCAACGACCCGCCAGCCTGGCAGCCGAAACGTACGCTAAAGGTGGATGAGTCTGCCTCCTGCCAGTGCGCAGGCCTAGACACCGGCGAAACTCCTCACCAAGCCCGCGTCCCGAGCGGCGGGGAAAAGCGGGAAGCCGGAAGGTCCAAGGAGGGAAGGGGCGTGGGTCACTCCAAGTGCGCGTGCGCGTGCGCGTGCGCGTGCGCGTGCGCGTGCCCCCGCCCCCACACCGGCTGCAGATCGGAACTATAGTACTGCAACAGCCTCTGGTTTACGTCTGTTCGCGGCACGCGGCAAGGGGAGGGGACTGGGGCCAACCTTTGATTGGACAGCACGAAGAGATGGGGCGGGAAGAAGCCCGGTGATTGGTGAGGACAGCGCGTTCCCGGATTTGAAGCGAGGAAGCCGCGCGCCCGGCAAGTCCCGAGGAGGAAATGAAGCTCTGCGCTGGCGGGGACCTGAGGGACATCTGCCGTTGGCGCCGCCTTCAATGTCTTGTCGAATTTGAAAATAATGCTTATTCTGTTTGGGGCTCCAGGACACCGCCAGTCACTCTATGAGCAAAGAAGTATTCCCCGCCAACAAATCCCCCCCATAGGTTTCGTCCTTCCGTGGCAGAAGCCGACCTTGTAGGCGCTGAAATGCCTCAGGTTTCACCTTCAATAAATAATTCCTCGGGATCCAAGTTTCATGACAGTGCGCTACATCTAATCGTCTCTTGGTGGCAGAGTAGGGTTTGTCTCGATTGGGAAAAAAGTGAGATGAGGCATAATTCGTTCCTAAGTAGCTTCCTACTTTTCTCCATCCTTCTTAGGCAACAAATCCCGTCACCGCCATCTGCTCGGCACAAGCCTTAACTACTATACTACTTCACTGAGACCATACCTTTCACTCAAAATGTACCTCAGTCTTTTTCAGTAAGGTCCCTTTATCTCAAAATTTATTCCATATAGTCACAGAGGGAAAAAAGTCCCTTTCCAAAGCTTGCTCCTTAACTTCATTCAAGTTACTGAAAGATGCCCGGCGCACTTTAGTGGAGAGAATAGGAAAAACGCAAAGTAACAGTCCCTAGTCCCGAGGTTAGGCTAGTGGGAAAATATATCTGTTTATTTGACCACTTTCTACCTCCTGAAAACGTGGCTCAGCTGTCATTCTTGGATATCCTCTCCACTGGTTTCCCTCTCTCTGTCTACAAAAAATGCAGCACCTCTCTATCCAAACACACACACACACACACACACTGAGACACTGAGGAAGGAGACCCCCTCCTTCTATCTGCCTACAAAAATGCAGCACCTCTCTATCCAAACACACTCACACACACACACACAATGAGGAAGGAGACCCCCTCCTCCTCTCTGCCTACAAAAATTCAGCACCTCTCTATCCAAACACACTCACACACACACAATGAGGAAGGAGATCCCCTCCTCCTCCTCTGCCTACAAAAATGCAGCACCTCTCCATCCAAACACATACACACACACGGAGACCCCCTCCTCCCGAGTTTCTAAGGCTATTTCCCCTTTAGCCTTCTACATTGCATCTCAAAAGAAGTTAAAAGTCAGCCAGAGGAGGGACGGTTGGCGCCAGTCAGATCTAAATCACGGATATGACATGGAGGGATTTTCCCCACAAGGTACTGTTGTTGCTTAATCACGATTAGAACCCCCCCACACCTAAGTCACGTCCCCAATGCTCTCGACCCTCTCACAAATGTGCACCTCTTAGACTGTAAGCTTTTAAAAGGGCCAGGGTTTTCTTTGTCCGGGAGCTCAGCTGTTGAGGCATCCATGCCTGCTGCAGCTCCTGGCTGAATAAAATTACCACTTCCTTCCCTGTTCAATGTTCCAGAGATTTGTTTGTGGCCCTCCTGCTTCAACACCACACACCACATAGCCCACACACTCACATACAACCACACACCCACATACATCCCACACAATCACCCACACACAAATACACCCATACACCACACACACCCCTTCCTTGATTCTGCTTCATTAACTAATGATCATTCTTGTCTTCTTCCCTTAATGGTCTCCACTTTTTTTTTCCATAGAGGAAGCCAGGCTTCCACTTTTTTACACCTTATTTTGACTCATTTCATGGTGTGTCTATCTTGGTCCTGAACACGTTAAGTTTATCAGGAATGGACTCCTAATTGTCAAACTCAAGTCATGTCTCCACAGTTCTTGATACCCCTTCTTGGAACCCTGCAGCGTTGGTATTTGCAAATAGTAAACTACCTTTATTCTACCTTTGTCCACACTCAATGAGCAAAGATAAACGGAGAAAATCTCAAGATTTTCTGAATCCCAAAGAAGTAAACCAAATACTTAGGCATAGAGCTGAAAGGGTATACTGGAATGTAATGAGCCACCCTTCTTAAAGCATGTTAACCTCTCTTTCTACAAAGTGGTCACACATTGGAGGTGAACTGCTTAAATGTGTCTACATGTTCCAGACTGTCACTCACACCAGATACTTGTTAATAAATGTCCTTCCTCCACGAATATCCTCAAGTCATCAGAGCACTCCCTGTTAATACTCAGCAACCTGACAGGACTCTATTAACAGAGATCTCTGATTCAGAGTCTCAGCAGCAGGAGAGCCTGGACTCCAAGCTGCCTGGATCTGAATCCTCGCTCTAGCTCCCTCTTCCAAACTGTGTAGCCTTGGGCAAGTAGCTTTAACTGGCCGGTTTCCTTGTCTGTAAAATGGGGACAATTAAAGCACTTGCTTTAGAGGCTTACTGTGAGGATTTAAAGCTATTCCTGTAAGGTATCTAGAAAAGCACTGGTCCATGGAAATACCCAACAAACATTAGCTATTATACTTCAGTATCTCACCTCACTTGCCAACTGGAAAGGAGGAACAGAACTCCCACTGCGATTTCCAAATCTCTTTAGAATACTGAGTAGAGCCTGCAGGGGCCCCATGCAGGGTGCCTCCCAGGGAATAAGTAAGGCCTATCTAGTTTTAAGTTCAGACATCTCTCCTAGTTCCCCTTTTACCAACTGCTTAAAGTGGTATGCCTCAGTCACCAATACTTAAAACCTTCTACAATGTAACCACAAGGTATTTCAGAATAATGTCCCACTTGTTCCCTAAATATAATCTACTCTTTCATCAGACTGTTACTTATATCCTGTTCCCTAAACACACCTGGCCTTTTTTTTACCTGTTGAAATCAGGCACCCTTTCCAAATTCTGCCAGCTTAAATAACTTGTCTCTTTTATGCCTACTATACAATTTCTACCATTATTACAAAACTGAACACATTACCTTTTGTAAATTCTAGAAATGCCTTCTCCCACGAGTGCAAGTCTGTGCGCAGACTACCTTTTTTTTTACATACCCCAGTGTTTAGCACAGTATCTTGCACATCCTAGATGCTCAAGATTCACTAAATTGGAGAATGGTCTCAATTTCATTATTCCATTCTAACCCCAGGTACCTCTATGATTGAAAGCTCAAAGGCACGCCTTCTTAATTCTGAGTTAGATTCAGCAGTAAGACTTCTTGTTTGATCTTTGCCTTGTTTAAGAAAAGAAATACCTTTGAGAATTATTTTAAAAAGGCATTCACATTGAAATGCTAACCTTAGAGACAAAACATTTTGATGACTAGACAATACAACTCAACTGTTCCTTAAACTAAAATGAATAGGCTAGGTGAGATGGCTCACGCCTATAACTCCAGCACTTTGGGAGGCAGAGGTGGGATGATGGATTGAGCCTGGAATTTGAGACCAGCCTGGGGAAAAAGTGAGACCCCTTGCTACAAAAATAAAAATATTAGCCAGGGCATGGTGGTGTGCACCTGTAGTCCCAGCTACTCAGGAGACTGAGGTGGGAGGAGCGCTTGAGCCCGGGAGTTCAAGGCTGCAGTGAGCCATGATCATGCCACTACACTCTAGCCTCAGCAACAGAGTGAGACCCTGTCTTATAAAATGAATAGAATATTTCTATCAGCTCTTAATCCTTTGCATATTAAGAAGTTCTAGGGATATGACACTATTCAAGGAAAGATGTCTTTGAAAATTAGAATACTTATAACAATTGTGTCACGTATGTGATTACCTGATAGGACACATGAAATACTGTTCAAAACACCTGTCTCTCTCTAGGCCTAATAGGTTAAACCCTTGATAATTCTTCACAAACCTGAACCAAAATGCCTATTACTAGTTTTAACCATTTTGCCCCAATTACTGTCAAGTACATTCTAATTTTAAAATATTTTAGAAAAAAATCTTTTCTAATGTTGACTAGATTGAAAGTCAACATCTGTCCATTCTATATGTTAGTCTACATACTGACTTTCTACCTTTTAAATAAATGTGGGCCGGGCGCGGTGGCTCACGCCTGTAATCCCAGCACTCTGGGAGGCCGAGGCGGGTGGATCACGAGGTCAAAAGATCGAGACCATCCTCGTCAACACGGTGAAACCCCGTCTCTACTAAAAATACAAAAAATTAGCTGGGCATGGTGGCGTGTGCCTGTAATCCCAGCTACTCAGGAGGCTGAGGCAGGAGAATTGCCTAAACCCAGGACGCGGAGGTTGCGGTGAGCCGAGATTGCGCCATTGCACTCCAGCCTGGGTAACAGGAGCGAAACGCCGACTCAAAAATAAATAAATAAATAAATAAATAAATAAATGTAATATTTGCTCACATCTCCTAATTTTTGTTTGGGTTTTTTGTGAGATCATGAAAGGAAAGTAAGCCTTAGAAACTATCTTAAATAAAATATATCCTATTTTTATAAGGCAAGAGATTCATGTATTTAAAAATATATTTTATTATATGACCTACTTGGATAATTACAAAAGCTTTAAACAGTAATTCTAAGCGGTAAAAGGCAATTTCCTTTAAAAATAAAAAAGACCAAAAAGTTCACATTAGGTTTTGCTGCTTTATACACAGGAATGATTTATTTTATTTTACGTACTCGTCAGTTGCAACATTAGCCTGTAAAATTAAATCCATTTCTTAAGGTCTCAAAGGCAGAATAAACTTCATAATAATATGCTTTCACATTAGCCAGTCTGATAAAGCATAAGCAACTTAATACTATGGTAACAGTTCAAAATAAAATTACAGAACAGGCACTTTGAAGTCAGCTACTGTGTATAATTTCACAGTTAACATTATTTGGACATACCTCATTTCATCAGTTATCACCCAGAGAAGCAAATGTTCCTTTGCTGCAGACGCACAAACAGATTTAGGCTCTCAACACTGTATTCTGGTTGTAACACATGCAAGACAGACCCTAAGTTAGAAAAATCTTCTGAAAGAAAATGAAGAAAAATAGCAGCCAGAAATGAAAGCATTTACAAGCACTTGAATAAGGCCTTTCAATGTTAAGTCAGTGTTTTAAACCCCTTCATTCTCAGGTAAGGGATTAAGAGGCCGAGAGAGATATCGTCTGCGAGGGTGAGGATACTGGAGGTTGGCAGTGTCAGCATCGCAAGAGTGCTCTACCAGAGGAGGAAGAGGAGGAGGAGGAAGGAGCTGGGCATAACTGGACCATCTCGATCCAGCCCGTGGGGAATCCAGAGGGGGAAAGAAATACCTGAAACAATGAAGACAGGAACAAACACCAAACAAAACAAAAACAACAGGGAAAAAAAAACAAAAAACAAGAAAAAGAGAAAAGTAGTAAATACAAAGAGAACCAAAGAGGAGAAAACATGCTAGGAAAAAAAAAAAATAGCACAAATCAAGACCCTTAGTCAAACCAAGATTGCTTAAGCAAGTATAGAAACTTGAAAGAAATACAATCCGTTAAACTTAAAATGTCAAAAAAAAAATCAATATAAACGTTACAAAGAAAAACATTAATTTTATAAATTCAAAACATTTTCTAACCTCTCAGAAACATCTGATGCTATTCTGTTCATTTACAAATCTAATAAGCTTTTTATTTTAAGCAATGGTTCACTCACAGCAGCAGCAAGCACACTTTTCACACTTTTTTTTTTAGTGCATACATGATACTGGGAATACAAAGAGTATGGCTGGCTGGCTACTGCAACATGCTTTTGAAGAATTACATTGAACACACTTATTTTTCTGCAAAAGCCTTAGAATAGCTACCAAATTTTGACAAGTAAAAGGATTTACAGAATGACTGTTCCCTATTGTTAATCTTCTTCCATCTTGTAACTTACCAGGAATACTTATGCATTTTAGCAAACTTAAATATTTATAGCTTTGGTATCAAGGTCAGAGCTTTATAGGATATAAACTAATTTAAACAGCCAAGTAAATAAAGAAAATCTTGAGACATGGAATGCTGACATTAATTTACATGCACAATTTTAGTAAAATTTTAACGGCTTCTCTTATAGTACGTGTCCAAATTTTGATGTGAAGGAAACTAAGCCATGAAATAAATAACACCATAAAAATATACAGATGTATATTAGAAACATTTATCTCTTTAGTGAATATCAATTAAAAACTTAACAAAAAAAGTGTTTCCATCTTACTCCCAAATTATAAATGAAACAACACCAAATGCTTAACCTGGCTACAAACTGTACAGTCAAGTTACTTTCATTTTACTATTACTACTTTACTAATTCACTCCTTTACTAATGTTTTTAAAATAGTACAAAGAAATGACAGAGTTGTACTGAATATCATGTATAAAGCAATTCTACAAAAAGTAAACAAATCAGCACTCAAAACAATCTTTATGAAAAATATTTATTCAATCTTCAAATTAAAATTATAAAAGTTCATTTTAAGCTGTTTTAAGAAAGCAAAAGAAATATGTCTATATTTTCCCAAAAAATTAAAGTGATATTTCCCCTCCTCTCAACTACTTATATAAGAAGGTTAACAACCCTTTTAATCTTTAAACCCAAGTTAGTTTGAGGAACATTTCAAAAAATTGTTTTGGTGACAACATCTCAACAGAAAGCCTCTCCATTTATATTTCAAAAGTTTCAAATAGTGTCAACAAACTGACTAGTACAAAAAAATATACACTGTATTTTTAAAGGCCTTTTGGGTTGTTTAGTAGTAAGCAGGCTGCTGGTGTATCTTGGGAGAGGTCAAAATGGCGCTGGGGAAGGGGAAAAGGAGCTCGCTTTCCATTCCTGTGTGCATGCAACAAGCAGCAAAACAGCAAAGTTACTCCAGTTAGCTTGTACTCAGTTGTGCTTTCTGTTAAAGGACATAATACAAATGGAAAAGGGAAAATGCATCACAGATCTAACACAGATGGTTATTGGCACAATAAGTATACAGATCAAAACGTCGAAGCTATTTACAAAAGAAAATACATAGTACAGGCAGTGACCTAAAACCAGACTTTAAAAATCAACTCTAACATTATTTGTTTCATGAAATAATCTTTATAATCTGGTATCTCCCACAGTAGCCTGAAATTATTTTGATGCACATATTTACAACCTCAAAATCAAAAGCAGGACTTCTTTATAAAAATATAACAATATAAAAATAGTTGAAATTTTAAATACAATTTTCATCTTTTATTTGGGAACAACAGGATAACCACAGGACAGTTCATTAGGCTGTGTTTTGAAGCTTCCTGAATTCTATTCCAAATTTATTCACAAAAGCATATTAAAATAGTTTTATCTTACAAATTCACATAATTAAAATTTGAACATGAAAATAAAAGGATGACTCTTTAGATGACATCAGATATTCCTTATTATGATACACAAGATCTAACATATGCTAATATTTTAAAAATGATTCTCAGATTTTATTATTTCCTCATTTCCAATAAGTTTTAAACACGAAAACCAAATAATTTAATGTACTCTCTTCTAAAAAGTCTTAATTAATGTATTTTATTTAAAAATCTCAGTTTGACCTAATGCAAAGACCACACTACAAGCACTAAAAAACATTAATGTTCATTTGGACTAAAACCCTCACTATTAAACCAGGTAACCTCTTCCTCTCACTGCTGCAGAAGCAAAGTTGAATCTTAAACCTATAAACATTTCTACCAATAGATCACAAAAGCTTCAGAATATAATGTAATAGCCTCATAACCTACTGGCAAATATTCTGACCAAGTAAACCAAACACAAAATGAATTCTTAAATGCTAATATAGTTTACATGTGAACATTTCCACTCCATCTTATAATCCATGAAATAATCCTCCTTAAGTATGGCTAACAGAATGATTTAAAACAAAGACAATTTCCAGTTTTCCCATTAAACAGCCTACCTGCCAGCAGAAGATCCATTTAATGAATTCTGAAGACTTGGAATATTTGAACCTAGGGAAGGATTTGAGTTTCCCTGCTGAGAACTCCCATTGACTGGGCTCCCATTACCTTTCAAAATACCAGTACACTTCCAATTGTCCATATAATTAGCTGAAAAGAAAATAATCAAATACATTAATGTGATTAATACCAATGCCTAAGGGCATAAATCTGTACCCATGTCCTTAAACTACAATTACAGAAACGAGAGAAGCTATGGGCTATGGCATTTCTTTCAGGATTAACATTGAAGACACTTTTTAAATGAAAGACATATTATCTTCATTTTAACAATTTTTTAGAAGTTTTCAAAGTATCACCAATTTTTATTTTTTATTTTTTTGAGATGGAGTTTCACTCTTGTTACCCAGGCTGGAGTACAATGGCGCGATCTCGGCTCACCGCAACCTCTGCCTCCTGGGTTCAGGCAATTCTCCTGCCTTAACCTCCTGAGTAGCTGGGATTACAGGCACGCACCACCAGGCCCAGCTAATGTTTTGTATTTTTAGTAGAGATGGGGTTTCACCATGTTGACCAGGATGGTCTCGATCTCTCGACCTCGTGATCCACCCGCGTCAGCCTCCCAAAGTGCTGGGATTACAGGCTTGAGGCACCGCGCCCAGCAGTATCCCCAATTTTAAAAATATAAAGATTTCACCAGCCATCTTATAGATATTAGCAGAGACAATTCTCTGAAGTACTACATTATCACATTATGAAGTTAATATTAAAATCTTCATAATAATATTAAGGTCTTCATTATAATGAATTTCACACACACACACACACACACACACACGTAAGGTAACAAAGTTGTCTTTTTTTTTTTTTTTTTTTTTTTTTTTTAAAAAGATGGGGTTTCACCATATTGGTCAGGCTGGTCTCAACCTCCTGACCTCGTGATCCACCCACCTCAGCCTCCCACAGTGCTGGGATTACAGGTGTGAGCCACCGCGCCCAGCAAAGTTGTCTTCTTAATTATGCAAATATAAGGTATATGGGTACCTAATGTCTTCTGAAAAGGATGTAACAAAACTTTTGGAGCTTTAGTGGCTTATCCAAAATGGCCTTATTAGTTTGAATGCAAAATTGGTCTCTGAAGATAATGAGCCCAAGAAAATCAAGTTAGGCAACCTGCCAAGGAGCATGGCAAGGTAGTCCTGACTAAAGCCTAGAGGCAGAAAATGACAGCGACGCCCTTGAAATCAAACTACAGTGAAGAAAGGAAGGTCTGGGCTGGTTCTACCAAAGACCAAAATTGAACATGGGAGGCCCTCAAGTTTAGCCAGACTGCACTTTGGGAAACAACAAGTGCTAGAGGGTAAATAAACTAAGACAGCTATAAATTTGAATGCTAAGTATGAGACACCATTCATAACGACGGTGCACAAATCACAGCCATCTCTGCCCAATGGATAATCATCCAAGGAGAAGTACAGAACCAAGCTACAGAAACCACAGTCAGCGTCAACTGACCAGACCTTCTCTCTCAGCCTGGCACTTGTAAGAAACTTACAATCAGGAGCCCGAGGCTCTTAACTTTTGGGAGCTGCAGAGATGAAGCAGGGAAGATACTAGATTTTCTCCTATTAAGAACTGATTGTTTAAAGCAATTTATTTGATAAAGTAAGAGTGACTATAGTCCTAACTGAGTTTGTAGAGCAGTCACATAAGGTACATACACAATAAACGGTATCTTTTTATTGGAGATACTGCATATTCTGTTGTAATTAGTTTTAAAAGTTGCTCTGTTCCATAAAACTTAAAAAACAATTCAGTCATTAATTGCTATGAACTAGGTAAACTGATGGTCAAAATAACATAAATTAGTAAGATATCAATTTAAAAGTAACTGTAAAGGACCATTTTTTTTTTTTTTGGAGACAGAGTTTCACTCTGTTACCCAGGCTGGAATGCAGTGGTGCGATCTCTGTTCACTGCAGCCTCTGCCTCTGGAGTTCAAGTGATTCTCCTGTCTCAGCCTCCCAAGTATCTGGGATTACAGGCACCTGCAACCACACCCAGATAATTTTTTGTATTTTTAGTGGCGATGGAGTTTCACTATGTTGGTCAGACTGGTCTTGAACTCCTGACTTTATAATCCGCCCACCGTGGCCTCCCACAGTGCTCGGATTACAGGCATGAGTCACTGCACCTGGTCTAAGAGATCATTTTAAAAAAATATTTCAGAGTTTACATTTTTAAGTAAAAATTCCAGAGCAGAAATATAAACCAACAATTACCCCTTCACTGAAATCTTACCTTTCCACAATCTTACACAGCCATCATCTCCTGAAGATGCTAGCACTGTTCCTGTTATATTCCAACTCACTCGCCAGACCTGAGAATTATGATTATCAAACTGAGCCACTATATGGAGTTCGAATTTTGTTGGCCCACCAGAGGAAGTCAGTTCTTTCCTGCTAATAAAAAACATTTTCTGAGGGACTCTAAGCAAAGTTTAAAAAAATAATTTTAAATAAATAAATAAATATAGATGATAGATACACACACATACACACCATTCTAAATTAACACAAGTTGTCTCACACACCACATTACTTTATTATAATGTGCACATCTGCATAACACCCGCCCCTTGGCCCTTGAGCTAGGCCAGTGTCATTTTCATTTAACTTGCCAGAACCTGGAGTGATCCCAGCACATAAATGATATTCAATGACTGTTTCATGGAAGAAAGAAACAACAAAACGGGATGATTTTAGTCTCCCACACAAAGCTGAGAAATAAAACAGATTATAATAATTAATTTTAAAAGGCAAGACAAGGCCAGGTGCGGTAGCTCAATGCCTGTAATCCCAACACCTTGGGAGGCCAGGAGTTCAACACCAGCCTGGCCAACATGGTGAAACCCGTCTCTACTAAAAATACAAAAAACTAGCCAGGCATGGTGGCCGGTGCCTGTAATCCCAGCTATGCAGGAGGCTGAGGCACAAGAATTGCTTAAATCAGGGAGGTGGAGGTTGAGGGAGCCAAGATCAAGCCACTGCCCTCTACCCTGAAAAACTGAAAAACCCCTTGAAAAAAAAAAAAAAAAAGGCAGGGCAGCAAGTAGGAAAGAATGAAAGAATAGAAAGAAAAGAACTGAAATTCACAATTCAAAATTAAATATGTTATTCACAAGACTATCTCAGTACTAATTTAGTTTTTCCTAGACTGCCACTTCTCATTAATTTAAATATTTATAGAGTATCAGTTATAATCAGAGAATTCTATTGTCCTAAATAAAGCACAATTAAGAGAATATGAATCTCTCTCTTTACTCAATTCCCCTTTCCAAGAAGACATATATTTATACATAAAATAATCCATTCTTCAAATCATAGTTGCCTCTACGGTCTCCTCCACGAACAAAGGTAATCAGGAGGCAAGAGTATTTTCAAATTCACAAATGCTTCTAAAACTTACCTCACAGGCTTTAATGTAAAAATTCTCACATCTTTGGTTGCTATTGCTAGAATATGGAAAGATCTTCCCAAGTTTGGAGCAAATGCAATATCATGAACAGGATCAGTGACTGTCATAAGAGTTTCAGCTTTTGCGTATTTCCTGATGGAAAAACAGGCAATTTACATTAAACATTTTAGAAATAAAATGTGTGAAAATCCACACATCACTTCATCTCACCTTTTTTTTTTTCATACTGCTCACAATCAAGTAGTGCTCACCTCTATAGTGGGCTCAACAATGACTCTCCAAAAGAATATGTCCAAGTCCTGACCCCTAGAATCTGTGAAAGTGATCTTATTCAAAAGAAGGGTCTTTGGAAATGTAATTAAGTAAGGATCTCAGAAAGACATCATCCTAGATTTAGGGTGGGTCCTAAATCTAATGTCCAGTAAGTACCCTTAAAAAAGAAGAGGAGAAACACAGAGACAGAGAAAGCAGCCATGTGAACATAGAGGTCGAGGCTGGAGTTATGCTGCCACAAACTCCTGGAGCAAGCAGGAGTTGGACCAGACCAGGAAGGCTTCCAGAAGAAGCACAGCCCCGCCAACACCTTGATTTCAGACTTCACTGTGAGTGAATACATTTCTGTATTAAGCCACCCGATTTGTGGTAATTTGTTATGGCAGCCCTAGGAAGTTAATATAACCTCCTATGTTTCCTCCTTTGGTAATGTCCATTTAGCTTGAAATGGTTTAATAAAAATGGAATCAGAGTAAGGTCTTGGCTAGCCGCAGTGGCTCACACCTGTAATCCCAGCACTTTGGGAGGCTGAGGTGGGAGAACTGCTTGAACGCAGTAGTTAAAGACTAGTCTGGGCAACACAGCAAGACCGCATCTCTACAAAAATAGCGGGGCATGGTGGTGCACACCCGTAGTCCCAGCTACTCAGGAAGCTGAGATGGGAGGATGGCTTGAGCCCAGGAGGCTGAGGTTGCAGTGAGCTGAGATTATGCCACTGCACTCCAGCCTGGGCAACAGAGTGAGAGAATAAGGTCTTAATTTCTTAGCCACTAACATCTTTCTTAGGAAAAGAATGACAGATTCCCTAAGTATTTGAGTGCAAATCAAAAAGTAAAACTGGTAACAGAAACTGAGGTTTTTTTTTTTTTTTTTTTTTTTGAGACAGAGTTTCGCTCTTGTGCTGGAATGCAATGGTGCAATCTCAGCTCACTGCAACCTCTGCCTCCTGGGTTCAAGTGATTCTCCTGCCTCAACTTCCCGAGTAGCTGGGATTACAGGTATACAACACTATGCCCAGCCAATTTTGTATTTTTAGTAGAGACAAGGTTTCACCATGTTGGTCAGGCTGGTCTCGAACTCCTGACCTCAGGTGATCCACCCGCCTCTGCCTCCCAAAGTGCTGGAATTACAGGCATGAGCCACCGCACCCAGCAGGAATTGAGTTTAAGTGATAATAAAAGGAAACTATGCCAAAGGTATTTCATTCTTGTAGTTCTATTTCTTTATCCATAAATACAGAGTAAGAGGATAATGAAGGTAGTAGATCAGTTTTCTACTAGGTTCTTCTAAGATTGAATATTCTGAACAGAGCTGTAGCACCTAACCCTGCATGTAGGAGACTGGGTGGAGAGACCTCCCCATCCCACCTTTCTACTACCTTCTTCTAAATAGTTGCACTTCCAGCATTCTGTACTTGATCTTCTTTTCACCCCAACATTCTTCTGGTATGCCTCAAGGTTCTCTCCTCACCTCTAGAGAAAAGGCGTACCTCTTCTCACCCATCCAATCACCCTAAGCAATCTCATCCACATCATTGCTTCTACTGTGTGGTCTGCAGCAGCCTGGAAGCTTCTGGTAAATACAGAATCTCAGCCCCCTCCCAGGGCCTACACAATGAGAACATGCATTTTAACAAGATGCCCAGATGATTTACATAGACACTGTAGTTTCTCTTTTTTTGAGGCAGAGTTTTGTTCTTGTTGCCCAGGCTAGAGTGCAATGGCGCTATCTCAGCTTACTGCAACGTCCGCCTCCAGGGTTCAAGTGATTCTCCTGCCTCAGCCTCCCAAGTAGCTGAGATTACAGGGATGTGCCACCATGCCCGGCTAATTTTTTGTATTTAGTAGAGACGGAGTTTCACCATGTTGGTCACACAGGTCTCGAACTCCTGACCTCAGGTGATCCACCCACCTCGGCCTCCCAAAGTGCTGGGATCACAGGCATGCACCACCGCACCCAGCCAATACTGTAGTTTCTACTCCCATGGTTTCAGGACCTGAATAAACCAATAATTCCTAAATCTATCCCCTGCAATTCAGGATCTTCTACCAAAGACTAGAGATAGGACACGGGGAGCTAAGAGCACACATGCTACAGCCAGAACATATTTGAATCCAGGCTGCAACTTGACCTTCAGCAAGAAGTTTTCCCTAAAGTGAGAGTAATGCCAGTACTGTGGCAGAGAGATTCTAAGTGCCCCCAAGACCTGCACCTCCTGGTGGTCACGCCCTTGGGGAGGCTCTTCCCCATAAGTGTTTGAGTGGGGCCCATGGCTTGTTTTTTACCCAGGGGAAGGAACATGGCAAGGTGGTGGGACAACACTTGTGTGACTGCAACACACAAGCCTGTGACAACCTGCCTTATGAGAAGATTCTCTCGCCTTCAGGCCTTGCAGAAGCAGCTGCCACGCTGTGAGGACACAGGGGAGAGGGACTTGTGGCAGGAACACAAGTGCTGCCAACAACCAGGTGAGCTCCGAAGCGGAGTCTTTCCCAGTCTGGCCTGACTCTTGACCCACAGACACTGAAATACCGAATCTGTACTGTTCCAGCCACTGAATGATAATGCTGTAGTGCGCAATAGACAACTAATCTCAGCAATTCTGTCTACCTTTACACATTCCCACCTGGATGTTCCAAAAGCACCTCAAACATATGTCTGAAATAAACTGTGCTCCCCCACATTCACTCCTCTTTGCACAGTCCCAATCTCAATGAGTGGCACACCATCAGCCAGGTCAGAAACCAGGACTCACGTGACCTACAGCTGGTGCCTCCTAGACAAGTCTCCCTGGTCCCACTTCATCCCACGCCACAGTGCATGTCCTCATTCCACATCACAGTGGGCTACTGAGTTTCTGCTCCCAGTCCACACAGCTTCCAAAGTCATCTCCCTAAAAGGTAAATACAACCTTGTAACTCTACTGGACCCTGCAAACGTTCAAATGCTGCCAGGATGGAGACCACACTTGGCAAGCAGCAAATCTCCAAAATCTGCCTGGCCTGTGCCTGCCCCTCCCCTACCTGTCCCCTGCATTAGCCTCCCCACCCACTGCCTCACCAGGCCTGACCCTGCGCCATGTCTTTGCTCCTGCCTCCTCTATGCCTGCAGAACACGCTCTGTCTTTCAAGACTCATGCTCAAACATCATCAGCTCCCACCTGAGACTTCTCGCCCTGCCAGGCAGGTATGTGCTGCCATCTCTAGCAGGTAACCATACTCTTCCATATCCTAGGTGGTGTGAGCTCCTCAGCATTTAATACAGTCCCTGCTGCTTATAAAATGTTGAAAAAGTGAGATTTTTTTTTTCTTACCTGAGGCAAGCTATATATTGTAATTAATTAAGGTCATCTAAAGCTTCTCCTATCAGTAGGAGCCAAATAAGATCCTTGATGAAAAAAAAAAAAAGATCCTTGATGAGCACGTAAATGAAGGGAATAAACAAAAAAGACTTGTTTCTGGTCCTGACTCTGGAACTTAGGCTACCCATTCACTCTGTTGGTCTCAGTTTCCTCATTTGTAAAATACATAGTGCTAACAAAAAGCTGTCTCCCCTACTTACAAGGTGGTTGGTAGGATTCAAACTTCCTAATACATGTGAAAGTGCCCTGTAACCTACATAAATACATGGCACTTGTATTATCACTATCAATGCTGGATCTCTTTTAGTATTTTCACTCACAAATAAAAATAAGTATATTCAACATTGGTTAATTTGGTAAAGGTCTCCTTGTCTACTAAATGGTGATACAACTTGGAAAAAGATAAACAGGTATTAACAATGATACTACACAGTCCACTATCACATCTCTTCCATGTTCAATCTCAGTAAGAGCCTTCAAACAATGCTTACCTCAAAGAACCAGCACCGGAACTCCAAAAATTGCTGAACTCAATAGGTCTGATTACTTCCCAAGTCAATCCCACACACTCCCACCTGCAGACATTGTTTCCCCAATACCACTTCCCCTCATTTTTGATGCTGAAAATGCCAGACAATTGCTGTCTCAGCCCTTGCAGCTAAAGCACGGTTGGATGACCCAACTCTGACCAATAGGACCTGATAAGAAGTCTGCTAACGGCCTGGCGCGGTGGCTCATGCCTGTAATACCAGCATTTCGGGAGGCCAAGGCAGGCAGATCACCTGAGGTTGGGAGTTTGAGACCAGCCTGATCAACATGGAGAAACCCCATCTCTACTAAAAATACAAAATTAGTCAGGAGTGGTGGAGCATGCCTGTAATCCCAGCTACTTGGGAGGCTGAGGCAGAAGAATCACTTGAACCTGAAGGTGGAAGTTGAGGTGAGCCAAGGTCACGCCATTGTACTCCAGCCTGGACAACTAGAGTGAAACTCCATCTCCAAAAAAAAAAAAAAGCCTGCTAAGATACTTGTAGAAAGGTGTTTTTTCCCAGAATACCTGTCTCTGTATCTGCATGTGAAACCTAACATCACTACAGATCTTCTGTGATCATAAGATGGAGTTGTCATGAATGTACTAAGCATAACAGTAAGAAAAAATGGAAAATATTTAAGTAGGTCCTTGATATCATCACTGAGCAACTGAGTCACTATCTAACCCCAGAGCCACTCTACCCCCAGGCTCCTGTAACATGACATAATACAGGGAATCCAGACCCAATCTAGATTTATTCTGTTAGCTAAGAGACTCAAATGCAACCTCAGATTATTTTAACACTGGATATTTAGGTAATTTAGAAATACTTAGGTAATTTAGGCCTGGTACGGTCACTCAAGCCTGTAATCCCAGCACTTTGGGAGGCCGAGGGGGGCGAATCACAAGGTCGGGAGATTGAGACCATCCTGGCTAACACAGTGAAACCCCGTCTCTACTAAAAATACAAAAAATAGCTGGGTGTGGTGGCATGCGCCTATAGTCCTAGCTACTCGGGAGGCTGAGGCAGGAGAATCACTTGAACCCGGGAGGCAGAGCTTGCAGTGAGCCAAGATGACACCACTGGCACTCCAGCCTGGGTGATAGAGTGAGACTCTGTCTCAAAAAAAGAAAAAAAGAAGGCCGGGCATGGTGGCTTACACCTGTAATTCCCAGCACTTTGGGAGGCCAAGGCAGGCAGATCACCTCAGGTCAGGAGTTTGAGACCAGCCTGGCCAATATGGTGAAACCCCATCTCTACCAAAAATACAAAAAATTAGCCAGGTGTAGTGACAGGTACCTGTAATCCTAGGTATTTGGGAGGCTGAGGCAGGAGAATCGCTCGAACCCGGGAGGCAGAGGTTGCAGTGAGCTGAGGCTGCACCACTGCGCTTCAGCTTGGGCAACAAGAGGGAAACTCTGCCTCAAAAAAAAAAAAGAAAAAAGAAAAAGAAATACTTAGGTAATTTCTATTTGTCTGTATTTTCTTTCAGAACTAACTGCAAGTTATTTATCTTTTAACACCACTCTTATTTATGAAACACATTTTCTTTTCCTACGTTTTAGAAATGGTCCATCTTTTTTATTTATTTATTTTTTTGACATTGCTGGAGTGAAGTGGTCCAATTTCAACTTACCACAGCCTCGACCTCCCAGGCTCAGGTGATCCTCCCACCTCAGCCTCCTAAGTAGCTGGAACTACAGTTGTACACCACCACCCCCAGCTAATTTCTGTACTTTTGTAGAGAAAGGGTTTCGCCATGTTGTCCAGGCTGGTTTTGAGTTCCTGGACTCAAAACAATCCACCCATCTTGGCCTCTCAAAGTACTGGGATTAAGGGCATGGGCCACCTCACCTGGCCAATGGTCTACCTTTTAAGTTTTGGACTTATTCTGCTCAGCTAAAGTTGAAATTCACTTTAACAAGGCCAACACTTCATGAAGCCTCTACAAAATGTGCTATTAATAGGGCTCACAGCTTTTATAGCTTAAAAGGCTGTGAAAATCTCTAACACCATTCCTCATCACTGCAGCACATTCTACTGGGCAGCACTGTTGAAGAACCAGCTGCTCTGAAGACATCAACAATCTACAAAGTAGAAGGTATAAGATCCCCTTGACAACCTAGATGGTAGCATTTACAATTGCAGAGCCCATAGGAATAACACTAGTTTCTACTCTAATGCTGGTCCTGCCTAAGAAATGACTATTAGAACCAAGAATTCTGTACAGCACCTGCGAAGACCATCTGATCACCTGACAGGTGCTCTCTTCTCCCATAAGATTGAGACAGGGCTTTTGGCTCTCAGAAATTTTGCAGATACTTGTATCTCAACATGGCCAAAATTAACTTACCTTCACATGCTGCCACACTCTACTCAAATCTGCCTTGTTCCCAGAGTTCCTTATCTCAAGAAATTACACACACTGAAATTGTACACTGCACTTTTTTTTTTTTTTGAGACGGAGTCTCGCTCTATCTCCAGGCTGGACTGCAGTGGTGCAATCTCCACCACTGCAACCTCTGCCTCCCAGCTTCAAGCGATTCTCCTGCCTTAGCCTCCCGAGTAGCTGGGACTACAGGTGCGTACCACCATGCCCATCTAATATTTTTTGTATTTTTCAGAAAAGACAGGGTTTTACCATGTTGGCCAGGCTGGTCTCGATCTCCTGACCTTGTGATCCGCCCACCTCGGCCTCCCAAAGTGCTGGGATTACAGGTGTGAGCCACCCTGCCCAGCTGCACACTGCACTCTTAAGCCAGAACCTTAAAAATCATCTTAACGCCTTCCCCCTTCTCCCTCAATCCCCATATCCCATCAATCACCAGATCCTACTGATACCAATTCTCAATTATTCTCAAATTGTCCACTTATCTCCATGCCACTGCTACTACTATCCCAAAGCCACATAATCTCCCACCTGTACTGACTTCACAGCATTCTGGCCCTGAATCCACCCTGTAAGATAAAATTGAAACAGTGGACTTCTTTTTTTTTTTTTTTTTTTGAGACAGTCTGGCTCTGTCACCCAGGCTGGAGTGCAGTGACACGATCTCAGCTCATTGCAACTTCCGCCTCCTGGGTCCAAGAGATTCTCCTGCCTCAGTCTCCCAAGTAGCTGGGATTATAGGCACCTGTCACCACACCTGGCTAATTTTTATATTTTTAGTAAAGATAGGGTTTCACCACATTGGCCAGGCTGATCTTAAAACTCCTGACCTTAAAAGTGCTGGGATTACAAGCACGAGCCGCTGTGCCCGGCCTCCTACTTCTTATAGATACAAGTGTTGCCTATTTCTCACCACACTCACTTTTGCTCAGCACGTTCCAACCAAAGTATAAATACATTCCTTCTCTCTTGCTTATAGGCCTTACCACATGCAATTTTCTCCACCTGGAGTGCCTCTTCCCTCTTTGACTAACTTGTACTCATCCTATAGGTCATCTTCTAGGTGACCTTCGTAGCCCCCGAATCAGATTAGGTACCCCAGGTGTAAGCTCTTTAGCGCCATAATTCTTCCACTTCATAAAATTCACCACCCTTTTTTACTATTATCTTTTGTTTCTCTGTAAGATGGTATGTACTGGGAGATCAATTACCTTCTCTTTATCACCCATGCCTATACTATCAGATCCTAGCACAGAACTTGATATATCATAGTAAATCAGCAAACATATGATGAATAATACATAATTTTGTAAATAAATAACATTGTAAAATTTTTAATGCAATTCTGAACAATAATTAAAACCAAAGCAGGACTGACCTGGTGTTTTCATTATATTCAAAAATCTGAACCTTGGCCATTGCATTGGGGCTACTGTCATCGCTTCCTACAGCGATCATGGGGGAATGAGCACGAGAGCTAGAAACATAGAGAAAGAACATTTTAGATAATGAAAGAAATAATTCATTCAGAAAATGAACACACTGAAGGCAAGCAGACAGCAAGCTTAGAGTCAGCCTGTCATTACTAGTGACACCTACGTCTCTGCCACACAGCTGACATGACCACACTGCAAGTATGTACACCTGAGAATGTCACACATGAGAACTGAGGATTCCGTCCTTATGGACTGTTTTTGGCACGTTCTTATGGCTCAGATAGAAAGGAGCTCTTTGCCTGAAAGAAAGCTTCAAGCATTCAACAGATTTTAAAAAGATACTTCAGAGGTCTTAGTAATTTTTCCTGCTGAAATTTTTGTCTGTCACTCAGGCTGGAGTGCAGTGGCTTGATCTCTGCTCACTGCAACCTCCACCTCTTGGGTTCAAGTGATTCTCCTGCCCCTCAGCCTCCAGAGTAGCTGGGACTATAAGCGTGAACCACCATGCCCGGCCACAAACTTCTGTTTTCAGTGTTCTACAAATACTTAGTTTTGATTTTATAACATTAATAGTTTGAATGAGAACCAACAGTACATTTATAGTGACATATTCTAAATTACTAAAAACAAGATTTTTTTAAAATTGAGATTGGGGTCTCACTATGTTGCCCAGGCTGGACTTGAACTTCTGGGCTCAAGCAGTCCTCCTCCTGAGTAGCTGGGACTACAGGCATGTGCCACCACACCCGGCTAAAAATCATACATTTTAAAAATATTTTTAAATCCAGTCATTAAATGTCCAGACAGCAACATGAATTGAGGATCACCTCAGCTGTACAACCAGAAATAAGATACTCACATTTAAATTACTTTCCAAATATGATTCACAGCTAAACAGTGAGAAAAACCATCTCGCTTTCAGACTGAATAGTGTAGACAGATCACCTGCATGTCTGCCTCCCTCCAAAGGCCCCACTGAAATGATGAAAGAACAGTATCGTATAGCGCTAGACATCTAGAAAGTGTACCATCAGAAATCAAGAAATTTGGAGGGTTTCTAGGATGTCAGGAGACAGGTCAGACTGAGAAAGAAAACACAAAGGAAAAAAGAATCCATATCACCATTAGTAAGAAGAAAATTCCAAAAGGCCCAACCTCCAATTAATAAATGCAAAGAACAGAAATGAGTCATGGACAATTACAGAGTGATTTAGTCAAAAAACATCTGAGGAAAGGTCTTAGTGAAACAATTAGAACTTGAAAGAGACAAGTTAAGAACTGGAAATAAAGGAGTACTCCAAAATCGGCACGGAGGAAGAAAATACACTCAAATGATCCGTCATGCTCAATGGAAAACCTTCCTTGCTTTGTCAGTTTGGGGGTACCCCAGCCTGCCAGCCTGCTCTTGGCTCACACATCCTTAGGAAACCCTGCCAACCTACTTCACCCACTCCACAAAATTCAGTCAGCCTCCCTCGTTGAAAGAGTAAGTTGTTAACACAACAAATCACCCAGCAGAAGAAAAATGCCAATATCAGTTTTCTCTACTAGCAGTAACAATCCCTCACTCATAAATATAAATAAGCAAAGATTAGCAAACACCAAAGAAAAACAAGGGGTGTAGAAGATAAAGACCAAGGCACACGAAAAGAACTCATCTTTGAGAAAATACACACAGCCAATCCTCGATATTTAGAGATTCTGCACTTGTAAACTGGCCTAAATTTATCTGTAACCATAAAACCAATTTTCCAAGGCTTTATTATTTTTATTTTTTGAGACAGAGTGTTGCTCTGTTTCCCAGGCTGGAGTGCAGTGGCATAATCTTGGTTCACTGCAACCTTCACCTCCCAGGTTCAAGGGATTCTCCTGCCTCAGCCTCCTGAGTAGCTGGGACTACAGATGCCTGCCACCAGGCCCACCTAATCTTTGTATTTTTAGTAGAGACAGGGTTTCAACATGTTGGCCAGGCTGGTCTCAAACTCCTGACTTCAAGTGATCTGCCTGCCTCGACCTCCCAAAGTGCTGGGATCACTCCCAAAGTGATGAGCCACTGCACTTTCATGGTCATTCACTGGCAGGTGCAGAGCAGGTCTGCGAAAAAATCGAGTTGCCTGATGCACAGGTTCCCAGCAGAGGTGCCTTCTTCCCTTGGCTCTCATATGGCAAACGAATGTCCTTTTCACAGTCTAGTTAGCCTCACGTTTTCACATTTTTGTGCTTTTTAAAAGTGATTTCACAGTTTAAAATCCCATGGATGCTGTTGAAGTGCTGCCTAGTGTTCCTAAACATAGGAAGGCTGGGATGTCCCTTATGGAGAAAATATGTGTATTTGAAAAGCTTTGTTCAGGCCTGTGTAGTTGTGTTGTGGCTGTTAGTTCAATGCTAATGAATCAACAACATATAAGTTGTCTTTAAAATGAAAGACACACAAAAAGGCTATACACTGATCAGTTGACGAAAATGTGGTGAGAGGTTTGTGGAAACCCTGTATTTCCCCTAGGAAGAATTCAGTATTAGCTAATTCAGTGTTTATGGCAACTTTATAGAACATTGCCAGTGCAAATGATAACTGACTGTAAGTCAGCAAACAAATGCAAATTTTTAAAAATCTTAACTAGGAAATGCAGGGAAATATTGTAATACATATACCTAAATTGACTGGGATAAAAAAGAAGTAATCAGAGAAAAAGAAAGTCTGAACAATTAAAAATGATTGCCATTCGCCCAAAAATTCAATGATGGGATAAAATATATACCTAGAGAACAAAGCGGAGATCTGGGTTAACAAAGTACTGAATCGCCAAACAATTTTTTTTTTAAATGGAGAGTAAATCCTGGAATAATCAAAGAGGAGTCCCAGAAAGACAGAACAGAGACAAGGGAATAAAAAGAAATTGGCCAGGCACAGTGGCTCACACCTGTAATCCCAGCACTTTGAGGGGCCAAGGCAGGCGGATCACCAGTTCAAGAGATCAAGACCATCCTGGCCAGCATGATGAAATCTCGTCTGTACGAAAAATACAAAATTAGCTGGGTGTGGTGGTGTGTGCCTGTAGTCCCAGTGACCTGGGAGGCTGAGGCAGGAGAATCACTGGAACTCTACAAGGTGGGGGTTGCAGTGAACTGAGTTTGTGCCATCGCACTCTAGCCTGGCAACAGAGCAAGATTCCGTCTCGAAAAAAAAGAAAAAAAGAAATTATCAAAGGATCATAAGACATCCCCAATTTGAGACAAAAACATTCATTTTCAAAGGGACCACTGAGTGCCAAGCAGGACTGGCCAAGTGCGGTGGCTCACACCTATAATCTCAGTACTTTTGGAGGCTGAGCCAAGAGAATTGCTTGAATCCAGGAATTCAAGACCATCCTAGGCAACATAGGGAAACCCCATATCTACAAAAATATACAAAAAAATTAGTTAGGCATGGTGGTAAGTGCCTTCAGTCCCAGCTACTTGGGAGGCTGTGTATGGTGGGAGGATCACCTGAGCCCAGAGAGGTTCAGGCTACAGTTAGCTGTGATTGTGCCACTGCACTCCAGTCTGGGCAACAGTGACACCCTGTCTCAAAAACAAATACATAAAAAATAATAAATAGTAAGTGCCAAGCAAGATTAATCAACAAAGGCCAATACCTAATACTCCAGGTTGGGATTCTCCTGGAGAAGGGGAATGAGGAAAGTACATACAGATGAAACAGCAGCAGCCTTGGGTTACTGTAGCTGGGTGATGAGTATGGAAGGGCCTGTCTACTGTACTTCTGTTACTTTTGGTGTATCTGAAATTTTCTCTAATGAATACACCTGACAACCCAAGATGGGAAAAACTGCTCAAATAAAACACAAAAAGCACTCCAACAATAAAGCCTGACAAATATGATTACATTAAAACTCATTTCCACTGGCTATTAAAATCCATCATAAAAAGTGTCAAAATACACTTGCAACAGAGCTCACAATAATAAGACAAAACCCTAAAACCTTCTGGAAAGAACAAGCTACCACAAAAGAACCAGCATCAGACTAACCATAGCTCATTAACAAAAACTAGTTAAAAATATGCAAGAATTGTATCTTCGAAATTCTTACATTCAGAACTCTAAAACTTGCCAAACTATCAATTAAGCATGGGAGTAAAATTAAGACATTTTCAAGTGTGCTAGAATCTCAAGAGTTTGCTATCCATTCTATTTGAGAAAAGATTAGGTATGTCATGGAAATGGAAAAAAAAAAATTAAAGACAGCATATGATAGAAAATTTGTGACAGCTAAGTATAAGCCAGAAGTAAAAGAAATAAAGAAGAGGGCCGGGCGCGGTGGCTCACACCTGTAATCCCAGCACTTTGGGAGGCCGAGGCAGGTGAATCACGAGGTCAAGAGATCGAGACCATCCTCGTCAACACGGTGAAACCCCGTCTCTACTAAAAATACAAAAAATTAGCTGGGCATGGTGGCGCGTGCCTGTAATCCCAGCTACTCAGGAGGCTGAGGCAGGAGAATTGCCCAAACGCAGGAGGCGGAGGTTGTGGTGAGCTGAGACCACGCCATTGCTCTCCAGCCTGGGTAACAAGAGCGAAACTCCGTCTCAAAAAAAAAAAA